AGAGAGTAAGGTCAGCAGACAGGAGTTTTCTTCCAGGGAGTCCTACTTCGCTGAATTACTAGGAGGATCACATGAGAAAATATCTGTGAAAATAATTTGCAGAGCACTATAGGCAAGTCATTACTGCTGCAGGGGACAGTACTAGCCTCCACTGACAGTGCGAGGCCTGAGTCCTGGAGGCTTCCCCTGGTGACTGAGCACAGCTCTTGGCAAAGGGCTCTGCTGACACTCAATTTGAGGGCACTCTGTCAGCTACCTGATGGGGTACAGAGGCAGGAAGGAGAGGAAAGAGTCTCACCAAAACTGAGAGAGAACAGGGAGAGCCAGTCTGGCAATTTTAAAAGGGCTTACTACCAGCCCCGTGATTCCATCCCATTCTGAGTGTGTACAAGTATGAATGTGGTAATCTGAGGAAATGTGTAATGGAAATATAAGAGACAAGTGTGAGTCCAGGGGAGGAAGTGCATGGTGTCAAGGTGATTATAGGGGAGGGGAGAGCACAAGATCATTCTGGGGAACTTGGATGCTATACCACACAACTTAGTACGAATTCACGTCTACTGTGTATTGTTTGCTCATCGTTTCATCTGCATTACTCTTATTTCCCCAACCAGATTGTAAGTTCCTTTGAGCACTTGCTGAGTACCAGACTCTCACTTAATACTTTTTAGCTGATTGACAGATCAACTGGTTAGAACCTGACTAGAAATCTAAATTGCCTGTGGAAGTATTTTCTGGGGATTAGAGACTATGCTTTAAGTCTTTCCTTAGCTCCCAGTTTATAATCTCTGAATTCACAATCCTAAATAAAGGTTTCTTTGAGACTGACATTTTTCCACCCCAAAATAGGGCCCAAGCCCTCCGTTGCCCTCTTTCCCCAATCTTACCAGTTTTCAGATTGGCAATGGCAGCCACCAGAGCTGGGTCAATGTCACAGCCCACCCCTGCAGCAGATGCTAGCTCAAAGACACTCAGGGTCACCTGGTAGAGAAGAAAACAACATTCTGGAGGGTATTCCCTGGAGAGAAGTGCTTGACAGAAGCTACAGGCAGTCAAGACTCCTGGATCACAGATTTTAAACTTTTGGTGTACTATCATCTTTTCTGGGTATTCCTTTCATAGATCTCCCTAACCTACAGGGGAAAGAGGAGAAAAAAAAAAAAAATCCAGTGCTTTAGCTTGGCATTCAGATTCTCCACAGTACAAATTTATTTTTTCAACCTTATTTCCTCAAATGCTTCCTACAGTCAATGCAGCCAGGGTAATTTATTCACTGTCTCCAAGCTACAACTTACTTTCTTACTTGCATGCTTCGGTTCATGTGCTTCCCTCTTCTAGAGTGTCCTTTCTTCTTGAGAGATGATAGAAAATATATATATTGGTCCCTGCCCCTGGTTCCTGACACAGGGCTCCTAAAAACCTTATAATTCCCTAAGTGATAAAAACACTAGAAGCATTTTTTTGGTCTTATGTGGCAACTCTGGGTGTGCTCCCGAACAGCTCCCGGATGGTGGCTGGTCACCAGAAAGACCACACTTGGTTAGAAGCTGGGAATTTTCAGCTGCACCACACCCCCACTGCTCCAGAGAGGGGAGTGGGCCTGGAAATAGAGTTAATAATTGATCATGCCTACGCGAAGAAGCCTCCATAAAATCCCAACAGTACGGGGTTCAGAGAGCCTCCAGGTTGAGAACACATCCACAGACCAGGAGGGTGATGCAGCCCAACCCCACGGGGACAGAAGCTCCTGACCTCAGGATCCTCCCAGACCTCACCCCATGTATCTCTCCATCTGGCTGTTTATCTTATATCCTTTATCACACCCTTTAATAAACTGGTAGATGTGTTTCCCTGAGTTCTGTGAGCCACTCTAGCAAATTAATGGAAAATAAGGAGGGGGGTATTGGAACCTCCGACCTACAGCCGGTTGGTCAGAAGCACAGGTGACAACTCAGGTTTGCAACTGGCTTCTGAAGCGGGGAGTAGGTGCAGACTTGTGGGAGTGAACCCTTAACCTGTGTGATCTGACCCTCTCTCCAGGTAGATAGTGTCAGAATTAAGTCTCAGGACACCCAACTGGTGTCACAGAGAATTGGTGTGGGGAAAAACCTCCACACATCTGGCGACCAGAAGTGTCAGAAGTGAAGTGTTCTATGTGAGAGGAAAGAAGACTCTCAGGAGAGAAACACGCAGGAAAGAACTGGGCTTTTCCCTAC